TGAAGGTCTGGAGGGTTCCTGGAGAACCACAGGTCTTCAGTCCACACTGGGTTCTGATTCCCGTGAAGAATTGGAAGTAGCAGCAGAGTAGATGAGCTGAAGACACAGCAGGGTAGATGAACCTGCCAGCAAGACAACAGGAAGGCAAGCAGGCAAAGAACCAAGCTTTCCCTTGGCCTCCTTATATCTGGCTGCCGCTGGAAGATGCCATCCATATTCCAGGTCTTCTCACTTCAACTAACTGGATCAAGAAAATGTCTTACAAATGTGCTCAGTAATTTATCTCCCTCTAACCCAGGAGGAGACTTACCTAGATGGTAGCAGTGGACCTCCTTGTATTTGGCCAGATCCAGTCAAGCTGACAACCAAAATTTACCATCACAGAGTTTCATCTAAACTGGCCTGTGGTTGGAATATGGACTTCCTTTCAGAGGGATTTCCCATGAAACCCCGCCCCCAGGCATGTGGTCTGAGTAGCCATGCTTCTGGTGGTTTCTAAAATATACTTAGAATGACTGAGGCAACAAGGTCTCTGTTTCCTCCCCAACCTTGAATGACCTTGACTCCCCTTGACTTCTTTCACCCCCACCAGCCTGTAACCTCCATGGGCCCCTTGTACCTCCTCCAGCATTGCCACACTCCTTCTAGCCTCCAGGACTTGGTGCTTGCCTCTGGAAGTCTGCTCAGATCTTTCCAGTTCACTCCCCCTGGTACCCTTCCCTCTTCAGTGAAGTGTTGGGCTACTTCATCTGAATGGCCTGGAACACGGCGTCACCCTTCTGTCTGCCTGACAGCTATGTCATACTGTAGTTCTCTTGCTTCCGGCTTCTCCCTCACTGGAGTGCAAACGCCATGTGAAAGATGACTTAGTCTTCATGGTGGAGCCCTCAGCAGGGTTCCGCAACTACTTCCTGAGTGAATAAAAGGCAGGTGGATGAGACCTTGTTTTAGAATGCGGAATGACCTAGATCACGGGCTCACACCTGTTCTCCACGGAGGTCCTGGAGAAAGTGGCTTGGCTTTGTATCCCAATGGGGACCTCAGCAGGGGATTCTGGGTGGCTGCTGATCATTGGGTTTGTCTTTGGCCTTTGTAAGGTTGGAAAGGCCAGTGAAGAGAGAAGTCATGCCCTAAAGGGTTAGCAGCTGCTCATAATGAAGGCTGAGAGCAGGGGTTCTCAACCTTCCTAACATTTCAACCCTTTATGTTGTAGTAACATCCAACCATAAACCATAAAATTATTTTCTTGGCTACTTCATAACTATAATTTTGCTACTGTTATGAATCATAATGTAAATATCTGATATGCACGATGGTCTTAGGTGACCCCTGTGAAAGGGTCATTTGACCCCCCAGATTGAGAACCAGCTTACAGGAAAACACCTAGTTTCAGCCTCCACTCTGTCTCTAGGCTGGATTAGGACCCACTGGGCAGAATCATCCCAATGCTCAAGCCAGAATTCTATCTTACTGAGTTGGAGATAAAGAGCGGGGTTATCAGAGGATACAGACAGATTGGGGGTGATGTCTTAGAGGCCCTTAGATTCTCCTAGCCTCCTCAGCCCACCCTGGTGATTCTCCAGAAAATAGACTCAGGGAGGTCTAGGTTGTATAGCTCATAACAAAGAGGCAAACAACAAACATTTGGGTTTTAGGCTAATGCCAAACCTTTCTCATAAAGGCATTCATTCATTCATTCATTCATTCATTCATTCATTCATTCAATATTTATTGATAATTTACTCAGTAACAACCTTTATTTTTAAGTTCTGAAACTACTAGAAGACAAGAAAAAACCAAGTCTGTACTTGGTGTTTCTGTAGCCCAATAGGAGTGGGCATCCAAGCATAAACAGGATGCCAGGTGGTCCTTCTCCCTTCGGGGGGCCCTCCTGGGGGTGTGCTGAGAACCCGCTCCACAAATAACTCTTGTCCAAAACTCAAAGCCATACTCATCCTGCAGACCTGGGGGTAGCAGGGAGAGAAATGGTCCCAGAAGCCTTCTTAAGGCTAGGTGTTGGGCTTTCCACGTCCGTGAGCAGCTGGGCCAGGTCCTCTCCCTGGGGCAGAAGGCCCTAGGATGTAAGACTGGTGGGTGGCCCACGGCCTTACGGTCCCTGGCCCTGCTGTGTCATGGCTCTCTTCCTGTTTCCCCAGCTGTGTGCCAGCCTCCCTGTCAGAACCGGGGCTCCTGCAGCAGGCCCCAGCTCTGTGTCTGCCGGTCTGGCTTCCGCGGGGCACGCTGTGAAGAGGTCATCCCTGAGGAGGAATTTGACCCCCAGAATGCCAGGCCTGTGCCGAGACGCTCAGTGGAGGGGGCCCCCAGCCCTCACAGGAACAGCGAAGCCAGAGGAAGTCTTGTGACCAGAATACAGCTGCCGGCACCACCACCAGCAGCCAGGTAAGCCTCCTTCTGGGGGTGGGTGGAGGTGGGTGGGGACGCGGGGGGGAGGGGGGGACAGTCGCTCATCAGTAAGGAGGCAACAAACCTAACAATCATGTCACGGATTTGTCAGGATCAAATGAGTGACTTTATGTGCTCGGAATAGCATTGAGCTCGTGTATCAGCTCTTTACAAATCCCCCCTTTCTCCTTACCCCACCCCCCCCCCCCCGGTGTTCTCTATGGTGTTGATATGTTCCTTCACTAGAATAAAGAAACCCCATTCTGTTTACTCACCACCAAACTTCTCCTCTTACAGGGAGGAGGAGGCACACGTGGGGAAGGTGAATAGGCTAAAATAAGCAAGGGGAAGCCGGGCGGTGGTGGCGCACGCCTTTAATGCCAGCACTCGGGAGGCAGAGGCAGGTGGATCTCTGTGAGTTCGAGGCCAGCCTGGGCTACCAAGTGAGCTCCAGGAAAGGCGCAAAGCTACACAGAGAAACCCTGTCTTGAAAAACAAAAACAAAAACAAACAAACAAACAAAAAAACCAAAAAAAAAGCAAGGGGAGTCGACGGGCAGCAACCCCTGGCCTGCTTGCCCTCCCCCCCACCCCAAATCTGGCTAGACCTTTCTCTCTCCTAGGACGGGAAACCTGAACTTTGTAAACTGGTCCCTTTCTAGGAGGCTGTTTGCGCTGAGCTATCTAGGTTGGTTTTTCCATTCGCGTCTACTTAGGGAGGCTCTCTCGGAAATGTTGCAGCCCAGCTCGTCTTGCTGAACTAAGGGGAAAACGGATTTGCCCTCTCAGATCCAAGAGAACCAGGAGGGGAGGAAGGCTGACCGCTGAGGTCAGGTCCTTAGCCGGAAAGGTCGAGAGAGACCTGCTGAGTAGCAGGAAGAGGAGGAAGGGGAGGCCACAGGCAGGCAGGCTACGCTGGGGTAGCAAGGCATGCTTAGGAGAGCTGGGGGGCTGAGCACCCAGATGTGTGCTTTCCAAGGGCAGCCAGAAACAGGGAGAAATGATAGGTGAGCTCAAATGATAGGGAGCTCCAAGATCAAAACCCAATAGTCATTACGGCCAAGGCCCGCAGATGTTAGGGCAGAGCCAAGGGTCTGGGCGCACAATACAGAGGGCCTGGGATTGGCTCTGAGCTGGTGGGCGGGGCCTGGCCCTTGCACTCGTTGTTACCGGTTGTGAGCTCCAAGCAGATAGGCCTACTACGTGAGGGCACATGCCAGACGCCAGCTTGAGGACCATGTTTCCCTCTATATCACTTTCATACTTCCTCCACATAGGCCCATTCATTGTTCCTTGAACCCGGACCACTCGGAGAGCAAGGATGCTTGTTCCTGCTTGTGCATGAATGCATTGTCCCCGACATCTGATCCCATGCCTGACACAGTATAGGTGCTCAATCGATTTGTCAATGAATGACTGCAAGGTGAGAAGTCTAGGTTGTGTGTGTTTTGTATCCCAGGGATATTGTCCTTGGTGTAGGAACCATCAGAAGCTAAAGGCTGAATGAAGTCTTTGGCCCACCGTGAGGCCATCCTCAACTTCCACAGGCTTCCAGGCCAGACGATACTGCGGTGTCCTTAATGCACTGCGTCCTCTAGGCCAGTCCCGTCCCCTTCTGCCCTGAGGCTTCCATGCATGAAATCTGGGCATGTCTCAGCACCCCACTGCCGGCTGCTGTCCACCCAGCTGTGTTTTGCTTTGAGAGGCCAAATCCCGCATGCCTGGTAGTGCTAAACATTTCCTGTGAGCCGGGCCAGGTTTCTCAAGCGGCTGCTGGCCTCTGTCCTGATAGCAGTTTGGACAGGCTCTGCCTGTCCAGACAAAGGAGTGACATGACCCAGAGGACATTCTAGGAGTGGGAGGGAGGGTGAGATGTCTGGGGAGGGACAGCACTTCAGGAACTGTGACGGCCAAAGCCCTTCCAGAAGAGCACTAGGCAGAGGCTAGGACATGTGCACCATTTAGATGCACACTTAAAGGTGGATGAGAGGCAGGATCCTGGAAAGTCACAGCAGCAGGCAGGATGCCCATGGAGACCAATGTGCCTGACTGTCCCTGGCTGGGCAGGGGCCCTGCCCACCTATGTATCAACTGAGCAAGGGCTTCAGGAGACAAGTGGACTATGGGAAACTTTAGACAAGGATCTAACCTCAGAGCTGACCTCTGGGAACTTGTCAATACACAGCTTTTGATTCGGCAGTCTGCAGTGAGCGTCTCTTACGTGGTCCCAGGTGATGTTAGCTGATGTGCTAGTCTATAGACCACATTTCAGTATCATGGGTGCTAGCGCCTGGATTTGGGGTTCAGATAAGCCTTGACTCTTGTTCCAAGTTTGCTCTCACCATCTGTGTGACATTAGGTACACATTCTAATCTCTCGGGGCCAAGAGTCTCCGTCTGATAGGATCGCCAGGAGGATGTAATGAGACCAACTGAGTAGGGAGCTTTGTGTGGTATCTGACTCTCGTGTGGTAGCCATCAGCCACAAGGACTTGAGTAGAGAAGAAAAAAAAACGTTGGGAGCAAGAGAGACAGAGGCAGAGAGAGACAGAGAAAGAGAGACAGAAAGAGACACACACACATGAGAGAAGATAAGTCAGTGGAAAGGGTTTATTTTCTCAGGTACAATGACTTACTGCTCCGGAAAAGATCTCTCTCTCTCTCTCTCTCTCTCTCTCTCTCTCTCTCTCTCTCTCTCTCTCTGTCTCAGCTGAGAACTTCCTGTACCTCCTGTGTCCTCTTCCTTGCTGTTAGCAGAGACAGTCGTCCAAGTGTAGAAAGGCCAGCTGAAGGTTTACAGGGGGTCCCATGACACTCCACCCCGTCCCTAGCATGTCTCTGGAGTGAGCAGGTGGTCGGGAACGCTGCTCTAGCCTGGCACAGTTGTACAGTCTGTGGCCCAATGCAGCTGATGTGGGATTCGAGTGTCGGCTTCTCCCCAGGAGAGGTGAGAAGGGAAGTCGCTCTCTCCCATTCCCCCCCCACCCCACCCCCGCAAAGCATGCTACTTCAAAGCTAGTCTTCTTCAGCTGACTTGACCCCCCGAGTTTCTCTCTAGGCTCCCCGAAGGGTGGAAGGATTTCTGGGCCTCTGTCTTGTTAGCATCTAACCAGCAAACAGAGACATCTGAGACTTAGAGGGTCCAGCCCTGGGCAGGGCAGAGCTGGCCTTGGGGTGCATTTGTGTAAAATATAAAAAGACCGGGCTTGTCGGGTGGCGCACACCTTTAATCCCAGCACTCCGGAGGCAGAGGCAGGTGGATCTCTGTGAGTTCCAGGCCAACTTGGTTTACATAGAGAGTTCCAGATCAGCCAGAACTACACAGTGAAACCCAGATGTACTCCAGGTCTTGTACTCCAGCTTTGACTGGGTTGGGGTTCAGGGAACAGTTGGGAGAACAATGGAAGGGATCTCCTCCTGCTGTACTTGACCCAGAGCAGACATGTCTAGGTTGCTGAGGCAAGACTCAGCTTGCTCAGAAGAGCAACGACCAGGAGTCTCCCAGAATCCATCTGCTACCCTCAGAGAGCAGACAGTCAAATTATACTTCCCATAATCCCCTCTCCCTTTTCCCACCTGTAAGTCCAAATGAGGACATCTAGTCCAAGGAGACTCCCAAATCCCTGACGAAATCCGGGTATTTCTCCTTTCTAAGATCTCTCAGAGCTGAGGACTATCAGGCCCCCACCATAGCTTTGGTTTTAGCTCTCCATCACTATAACAAAATACCCGAGGTGGTTAACTTGTAAGAAGAAATGGTTTATTTTTGACTCATAGTTTTGTAAATTCTGGTCCAACACGGAGCAGATCCACTGCTTCAGACCTCTGGCTGCCAAGCCAGAGGGAGTGTGGTGAAGCATGGTCATTTCATGACTAGGAAGCAGAAGAGGAAGATACCGGGGTCCCAAGCCCCCCTTGATGCTGTATCTCTTCCCACACGTGACTGAAGGGCCTCCCACTAGTCCCTCACCCCCTACCTTTTCCTAAAAATCCTACCAGCTCCAAATAGTACCACCCTGGGGATCAAGCCTCTAACACCCAGACTGCAGAGGGACAGTCTAGTCACAAACTACTGCAAGGATTCTTCAAGGCCCAGTTCCAGTCCTTTACAAATGCTGAGAGTCAAGCTATTGGCTTCCTACTGGCCTACAGCCTGCAGGTCAGTGGTGAAGGCTACAGATCACCACCACCACCACCACCATCACCACCACACCACCACCACCATCACCACCACACCATCACCACCACCACCACCACCACCACCACCACCACCATGACCACCATGACCACCATACCACCACAACCACCATGACTACCATACCACCACCACCACCACTACCAAGACTCACTGTACCTCCACTGTTGCCCCTCCTTGTGATTCCTGCATGAAAGTCTCTAGCTTAGTGTTAGGTAGGGAGAAGATTTTGTACAAGTGTTGTTTAATCAATTGTGCCCTTGGAGTATAAATGAGGGCAAGTTAGGCAACTCCTGGGAGCAAAGAGTAGAGAGGGTCCCCGGAGTTCCTTGCACTTTAATAGTGGGTCTAGATTTCCGGCTAAGGTGAGGGATGTCCAGGCTAAGATTAGGAGGACTAGGGTTGTGGGTAGGGTGATGTTATTTCATTTTAACGGTAGTGTGCTGGTTACAGTGAGCTTGGCATTATGCCTTCAGTGTGGTATTAGGATAAGGGTTGAACCTTAGGGTTGTGGTAATGCAGAATTTAGACTGTGGGTCTTTCGAATGTAGTATGGTTGTTGTTTTAATCTAACCTCCGTTGGAGTCTTAATGAGGAAGCTGGGGTGCTTTATGGGTTCCACCTAACCCAAAACCGGGGACGAGAAGGCACCGGGGTTGAGAGTGGGGCTCCTAAGTCAGACAGACCACAGTTTCATATGGTTCTGCTCAGCAGCTGTGGGATGCGGTAGGGTATTTTTTCGCTTCTCTGAGGCTCACGCTCGACCGCACGGGTCTTGGGTTGAATGATGACAGACCCAGGAGA